CGTGGACTTCAACTCCCAGAAATCCTAGCCAGTAGAGATGGTGCTGAAGGCTTCTGGGAGTTGTAGTCCAAGAACATCTGGAGGCCCAAGGTTGAGGACCACTGTGTTAGACTACACAAAGAAGCAATTGAAATCCACAAACATCAGCACAGCTTTAACAAAAAAGAAGAAAGTCTAAAGGAAGTGAAAACAATTTACTGTTTACTTCCTTCTCCCCATCCCTGTTGTTATGTTACTAAGAGATAATGATCAGCCCAAAGAAACACACTGAAGTGATTTAGGATCTCCACACTTCTCATCTAAGACTAATTATTACACTGTGCCACCTTTCTTCCATTCAATAGATGATATACAAATGTTACAAGTTCTTTCATGTATCCTTTTCATTTAAACTCTTTCACTTTGTATCTGTCATATTACCCTGGATTTTTTTCACCCAACAGCATCATAAAGGCTGTAGGGAACCAGTGAGAATGTCCAGGAGAAGGGCCAGAATAGGTAGTTTGATTGGGACCCAGTGTGTCTCAAGGTTTGCTTCACTGTTCATTATAGGTGGGTGTGAGCTTCTGGCACCCTCTGTTTTGGGTTTTGTTGCCTGTCCACCCAACTGCCTGTCTCTGTGCCTCCTGTCTTCTTGGGTTTTGTTGCCTGTCCACCCAACTGCATGGCTGCCTGTCTCTGTGCCTCCTGTCTTGGATCCTTTCCTTTTTTGTCCTTTTTCCTTGACTTTGAAGTGCATTCGTTCCATTTCTGTGGAATTTTCCCCTCTTTGGTTCTTTCTGTTCTTGGAGTATTTTTGCTGTTGGCCTGCTGTTACCCCCCCTAAAGAACCTGAAAGGAAACAAACAAGAAAAATGTGGTTCACATCTCTAGTATAGTGATATGTATGACCCCACTGCTCCTTTGAGTGTGATTTGCCCTTTGACATGCAGGCCTTTTTCTACAATCATTGTATTTCCTTCCTACTATTTCTTAAATTCTTCCTGCAAATGTAAAAAGTGCCACAAAGTGATGGGCTTTGAACTTGTATTTTGTTAAATAAATTAGTATTCTTAATGTCAGTTGCAGGGCAGTTTGGATTTGGGTGATTTCAGATTGTTATACCTGTGTAGATTATGCAGTATATCTATTTGAAAGGAAACTTCAACGTAGTTTCAATATTGTCAGAAGGTATATTCCTATGAGGAATAGTAAGGTGAAGTATATAATGATGAAATATTAATTAAAATAATTTTTAACATGTTAATGTAAATAAGAAATCTATTTAAAGATGCAGTAAATTTGCTATATCTTTTTCTTTTTTTTCTGCATAGTGCATGCCTTAAAGAAGTTTACATGGAACAGAGGTCTTGAATTTGAAATCTTTAGTAGAAGATTAGAATGGAGAATGGAGTAGTTCAAGGAATTAATGTACCTTAACTTGATTAATTGTACCAAAATTCATCTCTGATACGTTTGGAGGGCACAGCATAAAGTGTTCCTTTCATTCTATAGCTAATTAAGCACTGTAGGAAAGATTAAAAGAAATGTAATACTCCGCATTATCTACGCAGTGTGATACATTTAAGACGCTCTGACTCTTTTCATATTTTGTCATATTAGGTATCTTCAGATCTTCTAATAGTCGGTGGTGACCCAACTCTCACTGTGGAACCTGGTGACACAGCTGCTTATACTCTGAATATATCCCCATGGAAACGTGGAGAATTTAAAGGTATTTTCCAAAAATAGTTTAATGTGTAGATAATGCGGAACATTAAATTGTAAGTGTCGAGATAATTGCTGCATGATCCCACAAGGCACACTAACTACTGATTAAATTACCTGACCTCTGACATCTGACTGTTTTTCCAAAGCCTCAATTAGAAATGCTTAGCTCTTGTATAGCAGTCCTCCAGGACAATCCAAATTTTATAGCAGTTCAGTTCAAACTGCAGTTTCAGACTGCTTTGCTTCTAAAGTGAAAACAGAAGCAAGAACATTTCAATGTCTTGATTTTAGTTCTATAACTGCATCTCCTGCAGGTCTACAGAAGCACTATGTTAACAAGCAGCAAATAAGGCTATTTATCTGATTTCCTCCCCCCTGTATGGCCAGTTAACATGAGCAGATCTGGGCAAACCTGAATTTCCCAGTAAGACTTCACAGTAAGCGAATTTGTATTTCTCTCCCTTGTGTAGTCACACCCTTATTTGAATGTACCTCATTGTAGCTTCTAAATTATGTGGCGATTCTTCCAGGGTGTTTCCAAGGCAGAGAAATATTCTCAAATTCCTTTGCATCTCTAGCAGACTTTTATTTCAACCTTCTCATCTTGTAAGCAATTCCCTATTTAGTGACATGACATGGAACATAACCGACCTCTGGTCAGCTAGTGGCAACTATACAATTCTTCTGGGCTTGCCACCTCACATTTTAAGTTATAGAGGCTTTCAATTTATTCCACACATTCCCAGTAGGATATGCTTTCCTTTTCCTATTGTAAAAATGAGGATACATTAATAATAATAATACATGAATAAATTAGAATATGAAATGTAGGCATCAAAAACCTCAGATATGCTTAGAACACTTTTGTTTTTGCTCCTCAAAATGTTCCAGTATCTGTGGATCCACCATTAGTATGGCTGGTTTTATGTTGCTAATTCTGACTACTAATATTTATTGGAGATTTTGGTTAATTCCTTTTATAGTTAACAGAGTATCAGGTAAAAACAACTGCAGAGAGAACGTGTGAGAAGTAACCCAGCCTATTTCACAGGGACGAGCACTTTATATGTTAAAAATCAATCTGGAAGCATTTTAAGTGGAAAAAAGTTGCTGACTATAGTCAAAGTCAGTTTTAAAAAAGTGGAAAAAACGAGTCTTACCACTTGGAAGAGACCTCTCCATGGTTTCTAATGCTTAGATGTCAGGAAGAGAGAGAGAAAGGGAGACTAACAAAAGAAGTGAATTGAACAAACGGTAAGGGCAAGTCAGAGACAGGAAAAATAACTTTATCAATAGCTTAGTGGGAAAGGAGAGTCCCTTTAGGTTCTAAAAGCTCCCCTTCCTATTGATATCTAATGTTAAAAAGCATGTAGGATTGTTACTTTAACTTCCCCATAGTCAAAATATGGAGAGTTGGTTCTCTTTTGGCATGATAAGCAATCATATTCTAATTATGGGCTTTTGAAACACTGGTAACCTGGTTATGACAAATAAATGCATTATGGTGTCCTGAATTTACCAGGCTCCATCTGTGTGACTCTGGATTGAGATGGGATGGAGGAGAATTCTTTGAATCTGTAAAGGTGCTGTGACATGCCATTGGTCCATCTAGCCTGGAACTGACTCCACCAACTGGGAAAATCTTTTCATGGTCTTAGTCTCTACAACCTTTTGGTCTGAGATTTTTTAAAAATTCAGCTTGCTAACTTGGAAGTTTAAGTCTTTTTTTAAAAAAGTGCAGTTAGAGGAAGGAATAATATTGTCAGGATGTAAGAAATCTGAATCCAGATGAAATATTTTGATGAAATGTGCCTTGATTGAGCAACAGGAGCACTTAGACTTGCCGGACAAACTCAGTGCAGTACGAAATGGAAACCTCCTGTCTATTTGTCCAATTTAACACTCCCTCAGTTTAGAAGAGCATTCTAGCGAGATTCAATCTCCTGCCCTCTAAACTTTTAGAAGGAACACTTCAAGGTATCCCCTACATTGAACATTTATGTCCCTGTAATGTGGAGGACGTGTTTTGTTACACTGCTCATTTTATCAAGACCTGTGAAAGTCTTTTCTACTGTCCATTCTACAGAAATTTCCTGGGAGAAATACAAATTTCTGTATAACTTTACTGCTTTCAGACAAAGTCCCAGACATTACAAGTGGCTAAATATTGTGCTGTAGTTTACTCTACAAGTGGCTAAATATTGTGCTGTAGGAATATCATACTGTAGCCGCCTATCCTTGTGAGGCTACTGGTTGCCCCGGCCTAATGTTATGACAATGAACCTTCAATGATGCAATAATCGCTTTTGGCCTATGTTTAATCTGCGCTTGTTTACTACGTTATTAGATGTCTTAAAGGAAGATGTTAACATGGAATTTGATGTTTAAAATGGATCCCCTGTTTTTTTAGAGGTGATGGAAATTATATTTTAATTGTAATATATTGCTGGTCTTTGACCATAAATAAACGATTGATCGATTGATTGAGCAACAGGATTGTGATTACTTTTACACATTTGTTTTGCTTTTACTGCCTTCGGCATTATATTGCAGATGTACATTACATGCCCCATGTTTTCTAGCTTCTTAGGGTACTATTTTTGCATGGGGAAAACTGATAATATTCAGTTTCATTATAGTTGCTTAAAAACTGCTTGGAAGCATTTCCAAATTTCTTTGCTGCAGTTAATTTTTATCTGTAGGCCTGTTTTAATGGGAAAGTGAGGCTTCATATCCCACCTGCACAGTCCTCTGGCTCTAGATAAGGACATAAAATCTTTTCAACTTCTTTCAATTTCAAGATGAGGCTTTCTCAACCTAGCCTATTTACTGCTTACTATTTTATTGCAAATGATTAACAGAATAGTCTTTTTAAAAGAATTCCCGAGAAGCATTACAGGAAAACAATAAACTAAATAGAAATGAGATGGGAACTTCTAATTGCATACCCTGTTTGATAATTATTATCAGATGAAATTCAATTCTTCAAAAACCCTTGGGTTATTGCACTTTTGTATCCACACTTCAAAAAGCCAGGGAATGGCCCAGCATTGCTGCACAATATCATGCCCACATTGCCAGCAGAAAAAAAGATCCCAGTCTTTACATAACAAAGGGCAGCCTGAATATTGACAACAGCTATGGCATCAGTCACAGTGGTCTACAGGATATCCTCTTCTGCTCAGTACCATTCACAAAGTCATTCCAGGCAAGGGAAAATACCAGAAGGTGATTCGGGAATGGCCCAGCATTGCTGCACAATATCATGCCCACATTGCCAGCAGAAAAAAAGATCCCAGTCTTTACATAACAAAGGGCAGCCTGAATATTGACAACAGCTATGGCATCAGTCACAGTGGTCTACAGGATATCCTCTTCTGCTCAGTACCATTCACAAAGTCATTCCAGGCAAGGGAAAATACCAGAAGGTGATTCTTTTTTTTTACAACAGCTATGGCATCAGTCACAGTGGTCCACAGGATATCCTCTTCTGCTCAGTAAAATTCACAAAGTCATTCCAGGCAAGGAAAAATACCAGAAGGTGATTCTTTTTTTTTCATCAGTTATCCACTTCTCACCCGAACACAAAGCAGTTGTGGCTGTGTTCTAACAAGTGTAAATGGTAGCGAGCTGAAGAAGGTATCCTGTAGACCATCTTGAATGATGCCATTGTTGTAGTAGGAAGAGAGAACAACCTAGTATGAGATGTTGTTGGTTTGCAAGATCTGAACAGAGCTGTTAATGACAGGATATTTTTGAAGTCCGTAACTTACATAGTCACCACACATCAGAAGTGATTTGATGGACCATAGCATCTTTGGCATTTTTTAAAATGTACCAATCAATAGTAAAAATTGATCTTAGAAAACGGTCTAAGGAGGTGTCATTTGTCAGTAATGCTAATTAGGAAGCACCAATTCTAAGAATATTTTTTCCTATGTTGTTGTAGGCTTTCTGGGCTGTTTGGCTGTGTTCTTAAGGTTTTTCTTCCTAATGTTTCAACAGTCTCTGGCCAGCATCTTCAGACGAAAAATGTACCAATCAATAGTAAAAATTGATCTTAGAAAACGGTCTAAGGAGGTGTCATTTGTCAGTAATGCTAATTAGGAAGCACCAATTCTAAGAATATTTTTTCCTATGTTGTTGTAGGCTTTCTGGGCTGTTTGGCTGTGTTCTTAAGGTTTTTCTTCCTAATGTTTCACCAGTCTCTGGCCGGCATCTTCAGACGACTCTGTTTGTGCTCTGGTGCAGTTTGTGGGATAGAGTATTTATAGCTGTGGGATCAGTTTTAGTCCTTTTCAGGTGATAGGGTGATTATGGTGCTTTTTCTTCTGGGTGTATTGTTGTGATAAGGGGGAGACATGATCTGTCAATGTGATTGATGAGTGCCATTAGTTGGTCTTTTGTGTGCATTAATCACTGGTCCTTGTGTCTGGGTGGAGTTTGTTGACCTTTTGCAGGCTGTATTTTTCAGTGCTGGGAGCCAGGCTTTGTTGAATTTTAGATCTTCTTCTTTTTTGTTGAAGCTCTGCTGGTGTTTGTGGATTTCAATGGCTTCCCTGTGCAGTCTAACATAATGATTGCTGGTGTTGTCCAGTGCTTCTGTCTTTTGGAATAGGATTTCATGTCCAGCTTGTTTTAGGGCTTGTTCAGCTATTGCTGATTTTTCTGGTTGTTTTAGTCTGCAGTGTCTCTCATCTTCTTTGATTCTGGTGTGGATGCTACGTTTCGTGGTTCCAATGTATACCTGGCCACAACTGCAAGGTATCCAGTATATGAGGGGCTCTCTTTTGTCCCTTGCTGACGGTAACATTTGTTGTATTATTATAGTGGGCCTGAATCTGTCTAATATGTAAAGTTGTGTGGATATTGGCACAATGATAGAAGTTCATCTTTTGAAATGAATGCCTTGGCTGAAAGAACATCTGGTAACTATTTATTTCAGGTGTAATTGTATTTGTTGCTGAAGATGCAGAACAACAGCAAAACAACTTACTGCAGAAGACAGATGGTATACAGACCTCTCAGAAAGTGCCAACAGAGGCATTGCAAACAGTCAATGCAGCAGACACTGGTAGGTTTATTATTATGGGTAATTTGATTATGAGTCTTTACAAATATCTTATCATCATTCATGTTTCAATGACATGCATATTTTATATGCTAAGCCATGCATCTTTTTAAGTAAAGCATTTTGCTGGATATAAGCAGGCTGATTCTCTTTTTACTTTAGGAATTCCTGTCCTTTGTATATAGAATTCTACTGTGTAATAATAAAATTGAGCTATTTGACCAGATGTAATATGAAGTTGAATTAAATGCTTCCTTCTTGATAGTATATTGGCAGGCATTTGAATTTTTCTTTGACCCATCTCCAAGAATAAATAATGAATGTTGCACAAGTAGAATTTTGTTAGTGTTTGCAATTAATCCATTGAAAATTGTTGGTTTGTACATCTGAAGTGCATGCATGTCAAAATCAAAATAGTGTTCATGTACTATTGATGAAACTTGGTTTGTTCTAAACCTGATTTATTAATAGTTTGTTAAAATAGCTATCTGTCAATGCAACACTTTAATTAGTTTTTCACATTGCATAATGGCAGGTAACAGTTCATTTATTGTGTTTAACCTTCACAAAGAACGTGTTCAGTCTTACACATAACTTATTGCCAGTAGCTTTTACAAAACTATGTTGCGAGCTGTCATTATCTCCTATACAACAGCAGTAAAATATTAAAATGTTAACACAACACTATTCACTATTACTGTTTCCGTACTTCTTATTCACACATTTTGTATTACATCATACATTTGAATCCATTACTGTTGTAAGCAGTCATTTTTTTTACAACCATTTTTTTTACACTCAGTACAATTATTTTCCTACAAGTGGTATGGCTTTCCACAAAATTTCAGGGTGGGTCCCACCATTGTTGTCATAAGCTACTGATGACCTAGTTTAATGATGTTGTAAGGAACCATGCATTAGCTTGTTCAAAAGTTTGTGGAATGGCTTGTTCCATGTTTAAGCAGAATCAAACTTTTGGGTGTTACACTTGCTCAGTGTGAAAATGAGTTTTCTGATAATTATAGAAACCTTCTCCTGGTGGAACAATACCACTAGATTCAATTATCTATTTCTAGTGAACTTGACAACTGAAGAATGGAAAGTTTGTACATACAGGTATTGCAGAATGAGAAATTGGGAAAAGAGGAAATATGCAACTGGGGATAGGTTATTCAAAAGTGTTGAGTAGAAAAGCAAAAGCAAAGTGTGCAGCTTTTATACTGCCTCATAGTGCTTAAAGCTCTTTCTGGGCAGTGTACAATTTAATTATGCATGCTCTATATTGTCCTTCTCTCCCCCAGCAAGCTGGGTACTCAGCTTAATGACCTGGGAAGGATAGGAGGTTGAATTAGCCTCGAGCCAGCTACTTGAAGCTGGGATCGCACTCAGGTTGTGAGCAAAGTCATGCTCTATGAGTAGAAGGCAGATTGAGTCTGTTGATGAAACGAAGAAACGTTGGCTGGTATTTTGCTGAATGTCTTCTAAGCTGAAAGTTCCACCAGCATAGTAATATGGGCTTGCAGTGCTTGTACAAGTGTTACTATAGTACAAGTGGTGTTATCCATGAAGAAACCTTAACTCTCAGCTGGAGTGATGGTAATAGTTTTACAAGGACTTTCTGCTCAGTGGAAGCCCAGTAGGGTGTTGCCAAATGGTGGGCAAGCTCAAGTGGCTTGCGGTCAAAACTTTTGCTCTCAGCAAAAGTTTGTACTGTACTTGTTACTGGATGATTTATGTAATATTCCTGTGTTATTTTATTGTCTTATGTTATATTGGAAGCCGCCTAGAGTGGTCGTATAGACCAGGTGGGCGGGATAAGTCAAACAAACAAACAAACAAACAAACAAACAAACAAACAAACAAACAAACAAACAAACAAACAAACAAACAAACAAACAAACAAACAAATAAATAAATAAATAAAATCAGGTCCACTTCAAGCTACATGAGCCACAGAAACAACCATTCACAGTTTTATTTTTCATTTATTTTTGTCTGGTTAGGACCCCTAGAAGATTCCCTTAGTCCTTTGATGTAACAACACTGCTTCTGGACCAGAAATTGACCTTTTTTGTATTTTTTTTTAAATTTGAGAGGAGGGCTTAGGGGGCTTCAAAAATGCCTCAGGAAGAGCATCTCTCCATCCCTGATTTGAACTATAGAAATATCTTGGAGATTTAAATGAAAGAGCAATAAATAGATGAGACCGTTAAGAAGGGAAATACGAAATATGCCTTAACATTATGAAAGGCATCTTGATGAAATAAATAGAAATTGTATAATGTGTAAACATAGTTACGTATAATATCTTGCAGAAAAGGGATCCTATGGATCATCAAGTTCAGGAGGCACAGTGGGGAATTGATTTCCCAACCTCTGGCCCTGTAGCCAGATGCCTAAAGCACTAAGCTATCTTGGTGGTGATGCAATGTTTATTGGAAAGCCTTTGAATTCACCTCAAAGGTGACAGTGAGTAGTCATGTTAGTTTGTTGTAGCAAAAACACCAACAAATCATATGACATCTTATAGTCTAACATTTTATTTGATATAAGCATTTGTGAACTGTAGCCTGAAACATTTTGGTTAAATACATTTTTTTTTGTAACTCAGAACCTAAAACAAAGGGGATTAGACATTTTTAATTAATGTAAATTATATGTTTCTGTTGGCCAATCTCAGTTATGATGATGCAAAATTATGCAATAGAATTTTGTTTCATGTACTGCATCAAGTGGTAGGTATTCTCAAAGCACTAGGTGATTATTAGCAATTTCCAAAAATGTTTAAGATTGCTTAGTATGTGCCATCAAATCAGAAACAATCTATAGAGGCCCTAATAGGGCTTTCAAGGTAGTGAGATATTTAAGGGGTGGATTCACCAGTTCTATACCAGTTCCGTACCTCCACTGAGCTTCCATGGCTGAATGGGGATTCAAACCCAGGATTCCTGAATTTTTTAAGTCCATCATTCTATCCACTACACCACATTGTGTATCTCTTGAAACTTTGTAGCCCAAGAGAATAGTTTAGTGAAAATCAATTATTATTACCTTTAAATGTAGAAGTAGTTATAGTAGGATGATTTTTCTAATTGCAGCTTTTTGTTCTCTCTCTAATTGCAGGGATGCCTATATAATTAGGATTGTCTTTCTGATGATATTCAATGTACTTCAATTAATACTTTTTAAAAAGGTTATTCTATGAAGAAGATTCAGATTTAAAACTGTTTCCCTTCCCCTGTTCTATTAATGAATTGTTCTTATGTTGAAATAATTGTAAAAAGAGCAACATTTTATGTCAGGTGGGCAAAATTAGCATTCGAAATTAAATATCTGCTTAGCATAAGTAGCACATGGTGATGGGGAGCAATGGAAACATTTGAACTGAGTTCTGTGTTTGTGATTGTTTTATATGAGAGTGTAGTCAGTCCAGTAAACTAGCTGTTGTCAATCTTTTTTGGCCACAACCATAAACACAATATGAAAGAAATATAGGCCGAATCAGGATTGCATAAGTTGCAGAGTGGTCTTATAAGGTGATGTGTGAAGAATTGTTTCCAGTCTGTGGCCCTCTTCAAATGTGCCAGGGCCCCCTTAGGAGCCATATGCCCCTGTTGAGAATGGCTGCAGTAAGCAAACACATTTTAATGGTAAATCACAGCTATTTCCCTTCTACTCTGCAACTCCATATTTCTTCCACACCCTGTTTTGGAGGTACAGGTGTAAAGGGTTACAGGTAGAAGAGGCCATTGAAGATCTTACCTTCCCATTGAAAGAAGCCTTCATCACTAGAGGGAAATTGCATTCTGCTTCAAGGTGGCAATAAATATATTTATTTTACACATCCCAAAACTCAATAAAAGCCTCATTCTTTAATTGTTATTTTGGAATAAACTTTCCAGCCAATTATTACGTATTTAATTTTTAGTGGAATTTTATTTTGCCTTTCCTTCAGTGAGTTCAAGGGAATATATATGACTGTCCTATTCCCTACTGTATTTTTATATGAACACTGTGAGACCAGTCAAGTTGAAAGACTGGCCCAAGGTTACTTCATGAATTTGGGACCTCAAAACCTAAATAGTTTGGGACATTGATACCTGGCAAAATGCCTCCTCCTGACTAGATCTGCCTGTCCTATACAATCCTTCCAGGTTAGGTGGTTGAGATTGTTCATCCCAAGAGAGGCCCAGAAAGTGAAGACTAGAAACCAGGCCTTTTTGGTGGTTGCTCCCCAAATCTGGAAGAGCTTCTCACCTGAAATCTGCCTGGCTCCTTCACTGGGAACTTTTCAGCAATTGTTAAAAGCATGATTTCTTTCAGACACACCTTCCCGGACCTTATAACATCCTGATACAATTATGCTCTTAACACTTATCTATCATGCCACCTTTTTTAAAAATATAATTTTAGTTATTATTAGTTGAATTTTGTTAGTGTATCTGTGTTTAATTTTGATTTTATGCCATTATGGTCTTTGTTTTAACTGTTGTTCAATGATATGTTGTTTAATTGTGTAAACTGCCCAGAGTGGCCTTGGCAGCCAGATGGGTGGTATAAAAGTCAAATGAATGAATGAATGAATGAATGAATGAATGAATGAATGAATGAATGAATGAATGAATGAATGAATGAATGAATGAGTTTCATAACTGACTGGTGACTAAAACCTAGATTTCCCAAATCTCAGTTGAACATTTGAATTACTACATTACACTGACTGTTATCTTATACTGTACTAAGATAAGGTCAGCACTTAATAGTTAACATTTTCTCCCATTAGTTCTGAATTGTGCTACAACATTTAAAAAAGATTGTTCCCTGAAATAAAGTCTTGGGACACTCTATGTGTTTCATCATCCACTGGTGAAGTCTTTATCAAAGAAGGCTTGGCTTTTTTTTAAGTAGATATGTTTTTGCTGGTAGCAATCAACATTCTTTCTTTTAGAGAAATTCAACTTGTTTTTAATGAAATGTTGTTATAACATTCCAGGAATAGAAGTTGTATTGCAGCCAGAGGAAATAATGATCGTTCCTGGAACCACAAGCAGTAAAAGGTTTTGTGGTGGATGGCATATGTGGCACAAAAATCTCTGCGCATTTGATGTAATTGCCTGTTTTAAATTATTAATAAAACATACTGTAATTGTTAGCAATGTAGTCCCTCCATATGTTGCTAGTGAGCTTTGGGTTCCATCTCCTTTGCAACAGCAGGTGTTTTGATACTGGCATCTGGTATAACAGTAGATCAGTTCTCCAGTTTGAATCTGGTACATCTGTGCCTTTCTTGCACTCTCAATATACAGGATTTTGTTTGCATAGAAACAAGTTTGGGAAGTTGTTACAAAATTAAAGGTCTGCCAGTTTGTATGTCATGATAAACGATGGTTCTTCTTCGTGGTCTCTGTGAAATCACACTAATGGGTTAATCTGCGCTTGCGCAGAAGGCCTCGGAACATTCTAGAGCTTAAAGTAACACTTTTGGCTCCGCCCCCCAGGACCTCATGGTCCGCCTGCCCTAACAGCCATTCAGTTCCATTTTTTCCGCTGCTGCAGTTAGGTCTCCTAGCTAGAGCTCCGTGAAATATTGGAAAGATTTGGAAGATTCCTAGATTTGGCTCCGCTTTTCATTCTTCAAGGGAAGTACTTTACTTTATCTTATTATTAGGGGAGTTTTTGGACTTTGTTTGAGGGGTTTCCCTCTCTCCCCTACCTTTCCCCCCTTATTTTTCTTAGACTGTTTTTTCCCGCCTTTTTTCTTTTATGGCCTCCAAGGCACCTTCTTCACCGAAAGTTACTTTTAAAAGCTGTGCCGCCTGTTCTAAAAAGATCCCATCGACAGACGGCCATCGTTATTGTTTATTTTGCCTTGGGAAGTCACACGTCCCCCAGACCTGCCGCCATTGTGAAAGGTTTACTCGGCAGGGCTTGAGACTTAGAGAACAACGTCTTCGGGCAGCGCTTTGGGAAAAATCCCTAACCGCCCCTACTATGGCGACTACCTCTGCGCCTGCAGATTCGGGTCCCTTACCCGGCCCTAAGACCAGGGGCAATGGTAAACCGACTACGTCTACCAAGAAGGCTCCCAAAAAATCCAAGCCTCCTAAAAGTCAAGCCACGGCCGCCATTCCTCCTCCGCCCTCCCCTGCGGCCATGCCTCAACTACAACCGTCGCCTTCCTTGCCTGCTCTTACCCCGCAATCTCCTATTGAAATTCCGTCGCAGGCCTCGTCTCCAGCTTCTTCCCCAGCCTCATTACCACCGCCTGTCGATACGCCGGATATACCACTCTTCCCATCCCCTCAGAGGAAGAGAAAGGCTAAAACAAGGCATTTGGAAACAGCCTCTGGAGATTCCCGGTCTCCGAGCCCCTCGGGACCGAAGGTCTCCCCCCACGGGGCTGGACATGTTCGCCCCAAGAAACCTAAGAGGAATGGGACTATGGAGGACAGAGCCGCTCCGCTTAAACTCTCTAAGGGTTACTTGAAGAAATGGCGGAAACAGATGCAAAAGCTTTATGACCCGCGGCTTCTATACAGCCTGGTTGTGCGGAGTTCCTCGTCAGACTCCTCTTCCTCTTCATCGGACTCCTCCGATTTCTCGGTACTGTCGGTACCGTCAGCCCGCGAGACCGAAAGAGAAGGACACCGGCACGCCCCATCGGTACCGTCATTCCCCGATACCGGGGTGAAAGGGCTTCAGCCGGTACCGGAAGAGCCCTCGTCCCTAAGGAAGCCCAAGCACCAGGCTACTACCGCGGACCGGGCGCGCCCTCCAGTTCCGATACCGAGCGGTATCCCGCGCCGCACTACAACCGATACCGATGTCGGTACCGCGCCATTCGGTACCGACGCTGTGCCCCCAAAGCGTAAGCGTCCTCACGATCCGGTACCGTC